TAAGCTGCGACTCTGAGCGTTGAGCTCCTTTGCAGCGCTCCATCTCTTGCTTCCCCGAGGACCTTCCATGTTCCAAGAACTATCCAAAAAGAAAAAAAAATACATAGTCACAAAGTATTAACAGACAAAAATAGCACAAAGCCACGGTCCCAGTCACTGTCAGTTCAACTTCCCACACGCTCCGTTCATGAAGCAGCGACAGGTTCGGTCGTCTTGGGGACAGACTTGGACTGACCGACGAGGGGGGCCTTGGGCTTGAACGAGGGACGGTTAGCTGAATGTCGACACAATGGAAAGGGAACGGCCCGCAAACGATCCGGGAAGGGTGATTCTCTTACCTTATTTTCCGTCTTGCCGGCAGCTTTCTTGACAACCTTTTTCGTCGCCGCCTTGGCCTATCTGGTGTATTAGTGGACGATCTCTCGAGTCGAGAGCCACAAGTTGCGGCCACATTGTTCACGAGACATATTTGGAGACACACCTTGGCAACAGCACCCTCCTTCTTGGACACCTCCTTCTGGGAGATTTCCTTCTTGGGCGCTGCCTTCTTCTTGGTGACGCCTGTCGGCTTCGCAGCAGCAGCAGCAGCTGTTGCAGGCTTGGCCGCCGCCTTGGGCTTGGTGGACGTCTTGTGCGCAATAACGGGAGCCGTGTCGACCGTCTGGAAGACGCGCGGCGCAGCGTGGCCGGTCTGCGAGCGGGTGCCTTCGCGAGCCATGGCGGAAGAGGAGGAAGATTGGCGGGATATGGCACAAATATGACGAGTGCCGGTGATTTTCGTATGCAATGCGCGAATGCGATGGACAGGGAAACGAAGAAGACGATGAGAATCAGCTTAATTCGAAGCAACAGAGGAAATGCTACGAGACTGATCTTGGGCGTAGAGCGACGCAGCCGTCGCAACGAAACCGTTCTGTGTCTTGCGAACCCAACAAAGTTGCGGCAAAATATTGTCGTGCGAGACAAAGAGGAAGAGAAAATGGATGACGACAATGGGCAAAGGGAAAAGGAGAAGGAAATGAAGACGGGACGTCAACAAGAAATCCAGGCGGCAAGAAAAAGGAGCGCAGAGGGCAGGAGCAGGCCTGAGAATCTGCGGCCAGGACCAGGCGCAGCCAGACTCCGAAATCACAACAAACCGAAAAGAGAAGGAGGGGCCAGAAACCGACGAGGTGGCTTCCGTAGGAGCTGCTCTGTCGTATTGGCCGTTGCGGCAACGCAATGCAACGATGGCAGTGAGTGCAGCGGCTGCAGCAACGCAGCTGCAGCACGGACTGGACTGACTGCCGCCACCGAAAACAGTGACAGTACTGAATGCTGCGACTTGCGACATGCGACATGCGACTTGCGACTTGCGCACATGCACGGCATGAAATTGGCAGGGCTGGGATCAAGATACAGAGGTGCTGCAGCCCTCCCATCGCACCTGCCTGCCACCTGTGAGATTACTTCTTGCCTGCAGGAGGGACTCCCAGCAGTGCTTTCCCGATTGGTGCACGTCAAATAATTACAGACTACGGAGTACTCCGATCCTGTAACTGTGCTGTCATGTTTGCTTCTAAATCTGCGTTGTATTTCTTGCTGCGCTGCGTATTTTTATTTTGAGGTCACTTTCAAGAAAATGGCAAGCAAATACATCGCGTCTTGGAGTATACAGAAGGCTCCCTAAAGAAAACAAAAAATGTGTACGAATGAAAAATGACTTTTCAATTTTTGAAAATATATCGAGGATAAATACATTCACGTGAGATTCAAGTGAGATATCAAGTGAAAAAATAAATATAATAAAAAAAAAAAAAAAAAAAAAAAGAAAGTGTCTGGTTTCCAATTCTGCATACACATTTCCGCAACTACCCCTTGACGGACAAAAATGTGAACATTACCCAACCAATACAGGAGCATAGTTAAAAATCTTTTGATTTTGATTAGTCTTTCCTTTACATGTATCGTTATTTTGCTGTCATTTACTTGGTGCCTGTTGCTGCGTATCCTGCCGCCGCATGGCTCAACTTTGCATTCTTGGGAGCCTGGGCCGCACAGACTCCGGCGGTTTGGAAAATTTATATGCTCGCCTTCTGGGACGTGCTTTTCAAAGCGCCTGGCCTGCACATTTTCGATGGCACGTACCTGCCGAATCTCGACTGGAACATGATTGACGTCGTTATCCTCGTTATCTGGAAACGTCCTCGAATCTGTCGAGGCGTTCACCCACGACCCCATGCACGGCACCACAGTCACCTCGCCCGTCTTCCACGGATGGCCAAACCACTTTTGGAAGCACAACACAGCCAACCGCGCGTTCGTGGCTGTCACGATGAACTTTGTCATCTAGGGAATGTCCGCTTGGATTGCCATAGTAGTCTGCCCAGCCATCGAGGCACGGCGCTTCACCAAGGGCTTGAGCGCTGGCGGTCTCTGATGGCCCAGGTCAGTTCGCAACCTACACAACGGCGATGAGGATGTCTCCATGATTCTCTGATGTGATGGGAGATGGCTCATACTCTTATATCTTGGCTGGCTTTTGTTTTAGGGCCCTTCCGCGGTTTCCAAGGCGAATACGACGCTTGAGACTTTGAAAGCTGAATTATGCCGTACTGTACGTCATAATACGATGGACATTGTAAACAAGGAGATGATGACCCATAATTGAGTCACGTGCACCTTCGCCCTTTGTGGAGCTCATCCTTCAGCGCATCTCGGCACTGGTGACGTCTTTTGCGTCCAACGGCAAAGGAGCGGCTTGTGCGAACTCCTTGACAGGCCATTTCGCAAATTTCCGCCTGCGGTATAAGACGAACCCGTGTACCCCGTACACTTTCGACAGTCCCACTGCCGTCTCAACAGCCCTCTCTCCTCGTGCTCGCTCACCTCGAATCTACCGCAAACAATTTTCGCTAAGTTAAGGGGTCAAGCTGCGACTTGCCTTCGAGAAGGTTGCCACCCCAATGACGTACCCAGCCGCATAGCAACGACATAATCCACCCCGCCGTTGCGCGGGCCATTGTCCGATAACCATGCGTTCCACGACACCCGACGGCGAGCGTGTTGCGTTCCTCAACGGCGGCATTGCGTCGCCGCCGCCGTTTTCCTTGGACGACGATCCCGACCCGGACACCATCAACTCCATCGAAAGTACCGATGCCCATGAAGCCCACCATGGGCTCCTCAGCAAGGCAGATATCCGGCCCTACCGGCCGGCCAGTCGGTGGCGGGTGTGCTGTGGAGGACGCTTGCGCCTCTCGCGCCGAGGCCCCAAACGGCGGCTCTTGGGGCTGGTGCTAAAGTACCTGTTCGGGACCATCTTTGCTCTCCTGGTTTTGACGCCCCTCCTCGCGCCGTCGTACCTCCACCCACCTGCGCACTATACACGCCTGGTCGCCCAGTGCGAGGCCCAGTTCAGCGGACCTGAAGAGGGTCTCGACCGGATACATGGGTGTGCCAACCCGCATCGCGAAAAGGTCTTTATCAGCGTCAGCCTGTACGACAAGGAGGGCCACTTGGCTGCCGGGGCATGGGGCCAGGCCTTGGTTGAGCTTGTGCGCTTATTTGGGCCCAGGAACACCTATGTGAGCATATATGGGAACGGCAGTGGCCGCCACGGCGCCTGGGCCCTCGAGCACCTGCGCCGCCTGCTGCCATGCCGCCATACTGTCGTCTACGACGAGCATGTGCCCCTCGACCGCTTTGCCAACATCACGATGCCCGACGGCAATGTGCGCACAAAACGGCTAGCCTACCTCTCCGAGATGCGCAACCGCGCGCTGCGCCCGCTCGACACGCTCGGGGGCGTCGATGGCATTGTCTTTGACAAGGTCCTGTTTCTCAACGACGTCGCGTTCCGCCCCATCGACGCCGCCCAGCTGCTCTTCAGCACCAACCAGGACGCCGAGGGCCACGCGCAGTACCTGTCCGCCTGCGCGCTCGACTACAAGAACCCTTTTTTGTTTTACGACCTGTACGCCCAGCGCGACGCCGAGGGCTTCTCCAACGGCCTGCCCCTGTTTCCCATCTTCAGCCGCGCGGGCATGGGCCTCTCGCGCGCTGACATGCTCGCCCAAACCGACGCCGTCCGTGTCCAGTCCTGCTGGGGCGGCATGGTCGCTATGCAGGCCGCGTACCTGCAGCACCGTAACGATTCGCTGCCGCGCCCCGATTTCCATAAACCTGGCAGCCACGTCATCGACCCGATACATCCGACGGGCATTGTAGCGCCCGTCCGGTTCCGCTACGAGCCCGAGATCTTCTTCGACGCCTGCGAGTGCTGCCTGTTGCATGCCGACGTGTCCCAGGCCGCCCGTGTCGCCACAGAGCCCGCTTTCCAGTCTCTCAGCAAAGGTGTCTTTGTCAACCCGTATGTGCGCGTTGCCTACGACTGGACCACGCTCGACCGTCTGCGCATCGTCCAGCGCTGGGAGCGTCTCTTTGCCCTCCCCCAGGCGATCATCTCGTACTTTGCCTCGCTGCCCACGCACAACCCGTACCGTCTCGTCAAGGAGGGCGATGCTTTTATCGAAGAGGTCTGGAGCAACACAGCCAATGCCTGGACGCTCGAGTCGCGTACTGGCCGCAACGGCATGTTCTGTGGTGTGCGCGAGATGCAGCTGCTGGATACGGCCCCGCGCCAGGGCGACAAGAACTGGGCCAATGTGCACATTCCCACGGGCCAGGCACTCGACTTTCCGAGTTGACGGAAGAGTGGAGAGGTTGAAACATAATGAAACTTAGAATAATTACATGGCGTTTTTGTTCTTTTCTTCTTTTTGGATACCACATTGGCAGGCGTTCTTTTCATTTTTGACTCATCATATGGTGAGCCGATATTGCATTCTTCTGCGTACTTACATATCTGCATATATATCGTCGTACAGACTTGAATACCTTCAACATGGCATAATTTCATAACATTGAATATCACATATTGACTCTCGCGCCTTCCTTGCACGAACGCCTGAACGGGTGTGTGATGGTGACGGCCACCAACCGACTTACTCCAAACTGCCCTACTCTGTATCCTCCGGGTGGAACACAAGGGCACGCACCTCGATGCTTTGCCGCGGCGGTGCGTCCGATCCTCTGCCAAAGGCCGGATCATCAAATGCCGTGTGCGGCACCCGCCGCGCACGCCCGTCCGTCTTGCTGTCAAAGCACTTGATCAGCAGCGCCTCGTCCGGCGCCAGCCCCGACTTGAAGAACCACCGGTGCCCGCTCTCGTAGCGCACCTGGTACGTCTCGCCCTCGCGGTCCTTGAGCACCAGGCCCGTCGGCACGAGCGCCTCCTCGCCGACCGAAGCCGCTTCGGCCACCGCCAGCGGGTCCCGCAAGACGGGGTTTTCAATCGGCCGCCACACATTGATAATCTGCACGCGGCCGCGCAGCAGCTTCTCTGCGTCCTCGGCCGGCAGGTGGTGCGGCACGCGCGACAGGGCCGCGCGGTACGACTGGTCAATGTGCACGCGCTGCACGGGGCCGCGACGGGACCGGTCGAAGTTCCGCTGGCCATCGTCCTCCGGGGGGTCGCGGCGGATGGTGTGGTCAAAGATAAAGACACGAGACGCGCCCGTCACGTCTTTGAGGAGCTGCTCCGTCTCCGGGTAGTACGACGCCCGGATCTGGTCGTCGTCGCGGAATTCCGTCTCGGTGGCCGGGCGCGCGACAAACTGGAAGCCGTTGCCGTCCAGAGTATACTTGGCCTCGTCGCCCGACACGTCGTGCACCGTAACGGTGTGCGGCTCGGCCTCGCGGTAGTACGTCTCGGGCCGGTCGTAGTAAGTTGCGTGCGGAGGCGAGCCGTCGGCGTTGGGCTTGTAGTAGTTGAGCGTGGTCTGGACATGGCGCTGTGTTGAGTGCGCTGTGGGCAACGTGGAACCGACTTGCGGCCCGGCCAGAGGCGACTGAATTGCAGCAGCGGCCATTGTGTGGTATTGAAGACAAGATGTAAATGAAAATTGTTCTGTGGATATTAGGTGAGAGTATTTCGAGGAAAGTCAGGTTGAAAATTTACTAGTAAAACAAAAAAGAGAGTTAACTTTTGGATGTAAAAATGTTGTCTACAACATCAAGGGAATATATAATGGTTGCCATCTTCCTTTGTCCGTTATTTGCGACAGCAATCGCGGTGTTGGGCTTTGCAGTGGCTCCGTTTGGCTCACCATTGCGTGCTCACGGCACGCCATCTCGGCCAACCACATATGTTGCGTGGTGATCCGGAACGTTACGACAATTTGTAAGAACGTCGGAATTGCAGTTGACTTTGTATTTGTCAGTACGGATGAACTAGTACTGTCATGGATTGGGGAACGGAGGGTCTGCCATCAGGATTCCGCCGACAATTTGCTCTCCGCGACTCTGACATCCAGCCTCAAGGCTCCGTATGCATGAGCCGGTATTCTCCGCCTCATTATTCTTGTCCTGTGTTCTCACTCTTCTCTAATTACCATTCACCCACAAATCGTCCAATGCACCTGTTTCCAATACATCTGAGCCGACCAAGTCCCTCTCCTCTTTCTTCTTGATACGCTCGGCGCGCTTGTCGTCGCCGCGCTGAAGTTGTTCTTCAGTTGGACCACTTTGGTACGAATGAACGTAGAGTGGCCGTCTCATGCTCTTGACCAACGCCCGTAAGCGGTCAAGGACAGGTTCCGGTGTGGCTTGGGCACCTTTGGTGGTATCACTGCCACCTGCAGAAACCGTCGCCCGTGTTGGCAGAGGTTGTCTTGCTAGCAATATCGGGTTTGCTGCTTCCGATACCACCGCGTGTAGAATGTGAACCAAGAGACCAAGCTGTCTGGTCGCGTCATTGCCGGCGGCGTGTTGCTTATGGTACGAAGTTTTCCGCCGTTTGATGTCCTCAAACACTCCATCGACAATCTGCTCGACGTGGACCGACTCGCGAAAGTACAGACCGGCCGCCTTCAATGCGTCTCCTAATCTTGGCGTATTTTGAACAGAGGGTTCGTCTGGGCGCGACAATGACTTGACTAAACATTCAACGTCGACGCAAGCCGCAAATGTCATGTCTTCGCGGACGGAGATGAGCTCGTTGTCCAGGTGGTATGCCTCTGGGCCGATGTGGTACACGACCAAAACTAGAGGCGGTTGCTGCCGGTCAGGCGAGCTTGTGTCGACATGGGTACCGGCGCTGGAAGTGGTATTCGAGTGTGCAACCAAAATGGCCTTCAACTTGGCCGTCACGGCTGGCGCAAGATCAGCGGCGTCCACCCACTGGGCCGTGCCAAATTGGAGAATAGGTCGTCGGTACCCATTGCCTCTCTTGATCTTGTGCTTTCCGTTCTCGCGAAATGAATATGTTTTCACTCCGTATGCGTCGACAAGGCTGTCCATATCTGAGGGTGGCCTGTCACCATGGCCGCTTGCCAGTTGACAGAGTGTGGGTGCCGGGAGAACAGAGAGGGCTAGCTCCGAGATGTCTGGCGTGCCTTTGGTGTCTAGCGACACAAAGACAGCGTCTCTGTTGTTGTGGATGTACTGCTGGAGTGCATCGACGTCACCAAGGAATGGGACGTTCATCTTTTTTCAGGTGGTCGACCTTGGACCACTCACTGTCATCTTTGGCATTGTGGTGTCGGTTCGCTAGTCGATGCTCCTGTCGATAGTACGGCGGAGGGAAGGAAAAGAAGGAAAAGAAGCAGTAAAAAGGATTCAAGTCAGTAGGCGAAACATTAAAGACACAGCGCGGATTGATTTGGGGTGTCCTGCGAATAAAAACTGCGGTGGACAAAACTCGAATTTATGTGTCTGCTCTCTAAAAATACTTTTCGCTGATGAGGGTACATGACACTGTACTGTCACTTGACGGCGTGGCAAATTGCATAACCTTCTCGTGCGACATAGTCTTCCCGAGTCAGTCCTTTTATAGCATAACCAAGGAGGAGATTGTTGTTTCTAGTGGGATTAAATATGTTTCTATGCCTTTAAACGATAGAGTAAAAGGAAAGAACCGACGATGTTCTGGTGAGGAAGGCGCGATGTGATGTAGACGTTGTCAACACGTCGATTGTGGGGGTGGAGCAGCCCAGTTCGGTACCAAACAGTGGGGAGCTAAAGTGGGTCTAGTGCAGATCTCACCGCTAACCGGCCCACTGTAGATCCAGCCCAAGCAGAGCTTTGTGGGCTGTGATTGAAATGTCGTGGCGTTGGCCCTCCAAACCCCATACTGGGAAAATGGGCAAGGAACTTTATTTTATACCTCGTCCGAAAATACACGACACGGTGTTGTGTACGTGAATGACGTTTGTATACTGCTACGACGACATTTAGCAGGTCAATGGTAGGGAACTCAAGGCCGTTAAGTATGATGTAAATTTTGAAAATGTGATTGTGGGAACAAAAACGTTGCAAGTTCTGGTACAATCAACCTGAAAAAAAGACTCAAAAAAAGAAACAGAAACGGATTTAGAAAGTAAACTAAACTTGCTTGTGTATCTGCTGCAACAATAGTAACTGCCTGTAATTCATTTGGATAACGGGCAATTGTCCCACACGTAGTCTTCCTTGCTTCTCCTGCACCCAGCTCTCATATTGTCTAAAGTAAATGTGCTCTGAGCCCCGTCACATCACAGATGTCCTCGGTAATCCATTCGAACGGCGTTGCGAGAGTGATGTCGACCTGTTCGTAGGAAAAGTCTTCCTTTCGATGGACAGCTCGGACCCATGGCTCGAACTGTGAGGGACCAGCATGCACCGGTTCGCGAGGTTGGCGCGGAATCGTGCAATCTTTTGGAAGCGGCACGGGTGAGTCGCCTACACCATTTTTCTATTGGCCAACAGCAGCCGCCTCTGGTCGTCTCTGGATCCGATGCCCGCATCAATCATGGCAAGGACGGTCCCAGTCTGGTCGAAAATGCAAGATCCTGAATCCCCTCCACTTGTGAACGGTTCTTGTCTGTGCGGCATCGAGCTCTGACCAGTAGGCATACCAAGCACCGGTATAGACCAAAACACAATGTCCTTGTTGGGGAGCGGCGTGCGAACAACCGCTTCGATCGGGCTGGTCCTGCCCATGGTCACACCCGTCGTTGCACCACGCTTGAACACAAACTTTGGCTCATCCGCTCGACTCAGAGTCGACGCTGGATCGCCGCCAGTACGAGGCTGCAACTTGACAAACCCCGCGGTGTCCATGCTACTGAGCAACGCCTGGAAAGCCCGAAAGGCGTCATCGGCCCAGCCCTCGTGCTTTTCAAGTCGCTCGTCCGCGAGCGTGTTTCCAACGTAGACATTGTTGGTCTCAAAGGGCGGGCAAGGTGGTGGTGGAGGCAGGCCTTGGGAAGGGGAAAGGGGCCCTAGGATTGGGCGATTGCTGTCGTCGAAGGCAACCAAGGACCAGTCGCGCCAGCCATTGAACCTGTTGTGGGCATGCCGGCCTGAAAGTGCAACCTGTCCGATTGCCCGACCCTTTGAGCCTTGGCCGCCGCCCTCAGATGCAGCCGACTGCCGCGCCATTTCCTGTAGAAGGGAGGGGACATAGGTTGACACACAATTCTCCGCAATCTGCAGCTGCGTAACTTCGTTCTCGGAAAGTGTTCCATTGGAAAACTGCTTCTGAACAGGCCACAGAATCAGGCGTTTGTGCTCGGGAGTGGAGGGTCTGAAATAGATCGTTTTCTAGAGACGCCGACGACAGACAGAGCCTCAATGGCTGTCTCTGTGCTTTGTTTTTCAAGATACTATGAGAAATGAGAAGACCACCTCTGAAACAGGCAGGCTTGGTGCTGAGATGAAGAAAGCAGGAACGTAGGCCAACGCACGATGTCGCAAGTGGCGTAATTTGGGAAGGAACAGAAATGCTGGAAATAGGCTGCCAAACCACTGAACAAAAAAAGCAATGTGTAAAAGGGCGTTATTATTGTTATCAGGGTTCGCAGAAGAAATTTGTTTTCTAGCGGGTTGTGTAACCTGAGGCTGGCATTATTCAGCCTCCCAATGAGCTGCTTAGTCACTGGGACTCTAGTAACAGATAATACAGTGGTGTCTATTTCCATCCAAGAAACATATGCAAATAAAGGATATAAAGACCAGGAGACAAAGATGATACAGGGGGAAAGAACGCTGAGAGAGGAAGACAATGGCACGCTTCTGAGGAAGTCGCGATGGGATGCGACCGTTGGAAGTGGGTCCGTAGAGGCTAGGTGATCAGTGAAGTTGGAACAGTGGGTCGGCCCTTCACCTTTCCTTCTCGTACAATCACCGTCCCAGCTCCGTCTTGGGCAGCTTGACCAGCCGCGTGATGGCCGTGCCGTCGTCGAGCTCATCTGCCTCTTCTTCGATCGTGTACCTGCCCCAGGCCGGCAAGACGACGGCCCACAGCCACCAAAAGAGCACGGCGGAGGCGAGAATGGAGACGCCGACAATGGCATAGGTGGCGTAAAACAGCCCCGAGGTGGGTGGCGTTTTGGGCGGGAAGAAGGGCGCGGCAATCAGTGACAGGTTCAGCACAATCTTGAGCACTACCGCCGGGATCCAGACGCGGAACGGGCGCTTCAGGTCCGGCCGCGTGTACCGAAGATACAGCAGCCCGCCGGCTATGGCAATCGACACAAACTGGCCCGGGTAGCCCTCGACCTCGAGGATGAACGAATACACCTCGGCTGACGGCGGCAGCACGATGACGAGGAACGAGGGGATGTAGTGCACGAAGAACCCGCCAAGGGGCGAGCCGAACGGCTTGTTGGAGGCCAGCAGCTTCGAGTACGGCAAGAGGCCTTGGCGCGCAATTTCTTGCTTGACGCGGGCCATGGTAAAGGCGACGACCATGACGTTGCCCGCCGCGGACAGGGCGATGGCGAGCGAGAGCGCGATGCCGCCGACGCGCCGTCCAAAAATGGTCTGGAAGAAAAGGGCACCGACCAGCTCGCCGCTGTTGGCAATCGTCTCGAGCGGCACGACCACGAAGTAGGCGACGTTGATCAGCAGGTACAGCACGCACGACGTGACGAGCGCCGAAGCGGTGACGGACCGCAGCGTGCGGACGGGGTCCTTGACCTCGTTAAGGACGTTGTTGGCGTTCTCGAGGCCGGTGTAGGAATAAAAGACCTTGAAGAGGGCCGTCGAGATGGCGCCCCAGTTCCAGTTGGAGCCGGCCCAGAGGCCGGGCAGCGTCATTGTCGGTGCCGCCTCGCGGCCCTTGGGCGGGAAGACCACCACAAACAGCCCTGACAGAATCATGAAGACGACCAGCCCCACCTTGAGCCAGCCCAGCACGTTCTGGATCCGCACACCCGTCGCCCGGAAGCCGCTGTGCACAATGGTCACGGCCGTCAACAGGCCCACCGCCAGTCCCTTGCGGAGCAACTCGCTGGGTGCCTCGATGCCCACGGCGAAAAGCACGTACTGCGAGAAGACGACGCAGTTGGAGGATGTGAACCCGAGAAACACGACGACAAACACGATGAGGATCGACGCCAGATAGCGCGGGTGCCGGTACGTGAACTCGAGGTACACCTTGTCGCCGCCCGACCGCGGCAGCATGCACCCGTACTCGAGCGCGATGCCCAGGCCGCAGGCCGCGACGCCCGCGCCGGCGACCCACAGCAGCAGCGCCAGCCCGGGACTGCCTACGCCGCGCAGGATGGTGCCAGGCGTGGCAAAGATGCCGCTGCCAATAACGCGCGAGATGACCAGGATGTAGGCGCTCTGCCAGCTGAGCGTGCGGCCGAGCGTCGACGTTTCGGGCAGGACGTCATCGTCAAAGGTGCGGTAAGGTCGAACTGAGCGGACAGAGGCCGTCGAGGACGAAGCTGGGGAAGAGGAGGAGGCGACGGCCGCGTCGAGTGCGGTCACTTCAGAGGACTTGGAGGGCTCACCGGCGGTCTGGGCCGGGGGGCTCGGCGCTGCCAGCAGCGGGTGGGCCTCGATGTTGTCAATGTCGTCGTGTTCGTCGGAGTCGGCCATGTTGAGGTGCTAGTGGTGGTTGACAGGAGACGAGGTGAAGTAAGATGCAGCGGCAAGGCAATAAGATATATACACAAAGACAAAAAGGCCGGAGGAACACGCCGCGGAGGACCAATAAGTGAGCTCTCTGTCAAACTGGACCTCTCAGTACGCCGTACTTTCTGCTACATGAGAAGCGGCTGAGACAACAGTTCCGTGTGTGTTCTAATTACGGTGTGTTTGACCAATCCGTCCGTCGGAATGTCGGCAAAAGCTACCACAACCGGAAGGTCCTGCGTTTTGGTGGTCGCAGGGTTTCACACGTCATTTGAATCTGTATCAGTTGACGCCTGCTTTTCCGCTGCTGCCTCTTACTATTTTGTACCGATTTTTTGTCTCCCTGTTGTGGCTGCCAGCACGTTTCCAAAAGCTGACAAAAGGGGTCGCGCACGCCATCGCATAGTGTATTGACGAAACCAAAGGGCGCGGCATAGGATGGGCCCTACAGCGGGCACTAAATTGTCTCAACAAAATAAAAATACAATCTTGGAACCAACGTACGCTGAGATCGATGCATATTTGCTGCTGCCTTTGCATTACTTCTCACCCGCATAGCGAATCATCTAGCACCCATTTTCAACATGGAGGATGCGCGGGACAACAAATACACCCATCGAGACGAGACGCTTATCTGGGATAAACAACGAACCCTGATTCATGGTCTCCACGATTAATAAACCCCGAACCCTGCATGATCGGAGTTTAGCGCCTTGCCAAGCGGCCCGCTCCCGGTTGGTGCATTCAGAGAATGCCAACGAACGCCAGTGCATCAAGGACAGGCCTCACACTTGTAAGCCAACGCAGTCAATGTCCTATATCCGCTGTCCGTTCAATTATCATGCTGGATGGATTTAAAATTATCAAGAGGTAGCCTCTGACAATGGGTTTCACTTGTGGTTTGCGATCTTCCTTTTTGCCGTGTGTTCTGGCGCTTTCTAAAGGCTGTCAGAATATTCATACGCCATTTTATGTAAGCCAACTCCGCACACGAGTGAGAATAGAATTCTGTCAAGGTAGACCTAAAGTCCCAGGGAAAATATCACGAGGTCAGCTGTATAGCTTCTGGCCTACGCCGTTTATTTTTCCTCTTGCATGAGAAGAATGATCGTAATGGCAGTATGTTTGTGGCCCTTTGAAAAGGTAGAGTCAATAGAGATACATCTGCAGCAGTACTCCGTGCACAAATCTCACGCCGCACTTCATACACATAATCTCATATCTAGTCTATACAGTCAAAGCTAAGAATATTTGGCAGACATGTGCCTTGTATACCAGTGGCAAGTAGTGCAACTCATTACTCACAATATTTTCAATAATCTGAACACTGCGTAATATAGAACTTTAAATCGTAGCCCTTCACGACTTCTGCCGTCCGTGTTGTGCTCACTATCAGGACAACTTGGAACCTTATTAGTATCTCTGTAATGGGCAAAAAAGCACATAAATATCGAGTAGCTCGCATCAGTACTTGCACTGAATTTTGTAAAATACAAATATTCTTTCTCAACACGGCCCTTTAGCCCCGACAATAAGGACGAAACTTGACAACGTTCTCCTTGTGAATTTATACACTCGACGACTAAAGCACAACACCACGATAAATGGATCTGTGGCCTACGTCGTTCTCTTTCGATACACTCGTGGAGCACAATGACGACGTCCTTACGACACGACGCCCAGGAGACATGCACGCCCTCTGGGCCTGGGACGAGCTGCACAAGTTCAACCTCGAAATGGCAGCCATGGAAGCTGCCGTGTCCAACGCAATCACCGTGGCCTGCAATGCTGGCCGCCCGGTCATTGACGAGCCGTGGATGCCGGTCCTCGTTGACAACTTCTGGCCCATCAAGAGTCGCGCCCGCGATGCGCAGCGCAGATGTCTCGAGTACGCCCGCCTGGCCCAGACACTGGATGCGGACAAGCGAGCTCGCCACGCTGCATGGGCCACCACGCGCGCCACCGCCACCGCCGCCCTCGACACAAACACTGTGGACGATGTTGGCACTCATGGCCGTGCCGTTGGTGTCCATGTGGTCGCTGACACGGACGCCGGGCCCGATGCCAATGCGGATGCGGATGCGGATGCAGGCATCCGTGCGGGCGTGGTTGCAGAAGAGGAGGATGTAACGACAACGAACGACACCGACAAAAAGGACAGCACACCAGGTTTCGTCCGATTTGCAATGCTACCGACCGAACTACGACTCATGATCTGGGAAGCGGCCGCCATGCCACCACCGTGTGGCCACGTCATGGACATCACCAAGCCTCCCAAAACGGAATACGACGTCGCCGTGGCCCTCGACATGTTTCCCGATGCAGGGCTGTGGCGGGCCTGCTCTCAGTCCCGCAAAGTGATGCGGCGGGCCTACCGCAAACAGGCCGCCTATTTCAACGAGTCGGACGAATGGGGCGAGCACCCGTACTGTGCCGGCGACAGGCAAAACGCAGCCAGCACACTGGCCGAGCGAGACGAGGAAAAGGTGTATGCCCGGTTCGCCCGGATGGCTTGG